TAGCTAGAAAGAAGCTTCGAGCTTAAATTAAACCAAGTTAGCACGTTAGAGGAAGAACAAGAAGCAAAAACACAAGTATAAATATAATGTAGGGTGAAATAATGTTGGGTGTTAACTGCCAACTGAAACAGCCCATCACGATTAAGAAATCAGCTGAGTGACCAAACTACGGTATTTACGGCACTTGTTTGTTTTAAAGATAAATTTCAAATAGGGATGTTCAGATCGTAATCTCAGATGCAAAGATTGACTACACATATTTGCACAAAAAACCAAACTGAAATCAGTTCAATATGTTTTACTTTCAAAAAGTGGTTGATGACTATTCAGCCATGCGTGTCACTCACAAACAGCACAAAGCCAAACGATATTCTATAGAAAATATTACTGCATACCTCTTCTGCACTGATGAGCAAAAATTTGCCAACGTTTTCAGAGTGAACTTCTTTCTTTAGCTGACTTCGCCGCATCTCGAAGTTTTTTCGTAGAAGAAGTTGAATCTACAAATTTAGCTTTCAATAACCATGAAGCAAAGAAACGCGCAGATTACAGTTTGCTATCTACTACGTTTATCATAAATTTAAAACAAATATATGTGCGCATTTCCTCCCAAATATTAACTATACTACTTCCACATGGTACGAGGATGACAATGAATACATAAGACGATACAAAGCTGAGTGTCTAGGCCATAACAGGGTCAATAATGCTGTGAAAACGAGAAATATACCCGGTAGAGTAGAAGAGGTAACATCGAACAACCCGCTTGGCCAGTATGGTCAGTTATGGTCGCATGCTCCAAGATGAAACCACAACTAAAGTCATGGCACTCATTCTCCAGAGACTGGACTGGTGCCGGCGAACTTAGCCGCTGGTCAGATTTGAAGGCAGACGGTGCAAAGAATATCTGGGGTATGGATCAAAGCTGCTACGGTCTAAAAACGCAGGCAACATAAGCAGCACATCACTTCTAGGCGAAGCAGGGTTTCAAAAGCTGGAAGAACTTAGGAAAATTAAGTGGGATACTGTAGGAGATAACGCTTAAAAGTGCACAGCTATTCTATCAGAGCAAGGTTCGCCGAGGTGACTATGAAATTTGCTTATTATTACTTTTTACAAGCCATTTATTATTACTTTTTATAAGAAAAACCAAGCAAAATACGGACGTAGAAAGATCGTATGAAACCAGTTTCATCCTCAGTACATGAAGACCACAGAGCGAGGGGTAACGGTGTCAAGCTGGAAGCAGGAACTGGCTC